GTGTGTGTGTGTGTGTGTGTGTGTGTGTGTGTGTGTGTCCTTTTAAGCTTCCAGATATTGAAACGTTATGAAGACAGAGCTTTGCGATCTCAGCCTGTTGATAAAGACTTAAACTCGTGACTGAGAGGGATGGTCATAGAGGTTAGAGGAACTAACTGGGTTGCAGCTTTGTCACATGACAGAACAGGGTAATTCACAACAACTGTCTGAAAGAAATGTGCACTACTTCTCAATTTCACTCGAAGACATCTATTCCTTTGAATTATTAAAAGATGGACGTTTAACCCTCGATACTACTTAGCAATATGCTAACATTATTGAGCTACAGCACAGCAGTGAAGACGGTTACTGTAACCTAATAGGATTCGGTAAATCATTCAGAGAACCTAAAGAACAAATTGATTCTKTCTCACATTTCTACTGACATCCATGTAACAGTATTAGACAGATAAATGTCAGAGTACATGATGAATGCTAAATGCATCCTGTCATTGACCGGTTCAGCTCATCCCGGAAGCTGTAAAAATCGCGATTAAAGGAGATGAGAGAAGCACATAAATGTTAAACAGGGTTTTATTAATGTTAAACATTTCCTACCAGTTGTGACAAAAAAGCAGAGAACAAACGCGACGTTAACAGCAACCTCCATCCTTCCCCAATTTGTCACCGACATCTTCTGCTACAGCAGCGGTCAGCTGACCTGACGTCATGACGCAAGGCATGATGGGAACATTTCTAACAGGACCGCATCTGGTAACTACACTGTAAAACAATGAAACGTTGGATTTACTTAACCATGTTATGTTACCTGGTTCCACTTAACTGAGTTGAGTAAATTAAAAGCAATATACCAGTTTTTTAACCAAAGAACATGAATGATTTGAATTTACTCAACTCACTTAAGTGGATGTACTGTACAGTATTTCTGACATAATGATTTAGTTTTTACCGAAAATTCATCTTGTTTTTAAAAAATAAAAACACAATAAAATCTGCCATTTGTTTTGCCTAAAGACCATTTTAAAGAAATTAGATTTTATCAAACTTTGAACATTTTGTTTCTTTCTCATTTTTACAGAAAAAAATATTGTTTACTTAAAAATATACATATTGTTTACATTAGTGAAAAGGGGCTTTCCTGTATGCAGTCTTCAGTTACGATCAAAGACAGCACACAGGTGTGTGTGTGTGTGTGTGTGTGTGTGTGTG